TTGAGACCAATGAGAGAATGACTAAACTTATGGTAGAGGGGCCCCAGACAAAGGTGCTCATTTTTACTTCTCTAAAAGTTGAGCTCAGTGGCCGAGGAATTTTTCTACTCTCGATATTCTGGCTCCCCTTGCTTAGGAATCAGAACAACTTTCATGTTCTATGGTATTTGTTTCCCTGTTTACTATCATGAACTGTTGTAGAACAGACTATATTTGGCTTGAAACTTAATAGATGAGAGAGATGATTGAGATATAAAAGTTACATACAATCTGAAAAACTTCCTGATGATTTAGTGAGTATACCATGGAGATGAGGCCAGTGGCAGAATCTCCTCTTTCACTCAAATCTATGCATGGCTTCTGTTAACTTTCTTTACAAGTACTCCCAATCCAAGCCCCTTGGGACCCGAAGATGCAGTAACAGACATGTGTGATCTGTGTTTGGTATTTGAAAAAGCCTAATGGCAGTCATACGTTTACCGTCTAAAACTTCATCAGATTTCTTGGCCAGAGCACCATCAAATCAAAGTGATACGCCTGATTATCTCATGTTGACCAGGAATTCTAATCAGCATTTATGTATTGTTGATGAATAGAAATAGGAAACTGAATTATTATTTAATAAGTTTACTTTGTTTAGTAAGGAAAAATCCTTCCAAACCATGAAGTACCTGAGGGAAAAATACTTGTATCATTTTTAGGGACAGAACTGCCTGAACGTCCTAGCTGTGTGTGCACTTGATAAGGTCAAGTCTAAAGCTAAAACTTAAGACTCATTTTACATTAGCAGTGCTTTTTCTCCCTCCCTCAAACATTCAATCTCTGATAAACTTTACTTAAAACCCACCAATATTGTAAAACATTGTAGGGGCCGGCCCCGTGGCTTAGCGCGCTCCGCTTCTGGTGGCCCTGGTTCAGCTCCCGGGCGCGCACCAACGCATCGCTTCTCTGGCCATGCTGAGGCTGCGTCCCACATACAGCAACTAGAATGATGTGCAACTATGACATGCAACTATATACTGGGCCTTTGGGGAAAAAAAGGAGGAGGATTGGCAATAGATGTTAGCTCAGAGCCGGTCTTCCTCAGCAAAAAGAGGAGGATTGGCATGGTTGTTAGCTCAGGGCTGATCTTCCTCACAAAAAATAAAAATAAAAAAAATAAAACATTCAAAATGCACTGAAAGAGAAAGAGATCCATAGGAAATAAAGTTGAACGCATTAGTTAACAAGAGGGAGCCATCATGGTTGAAGGAACAAGTCTTTAATGTAATAGAAAGACTGCCCAAGATATTTATTTTGTATATATCATTTGAAATAAAAAGTAATTTTTCAGTGAACAATCAATTATAATATATCCATGCTATAGATTGCATTGTGCAGGCAATAAGAAGAATGAAGTTCAGGATATATATATGTATAAAATAGAATCCCATTTGCCTAAAAAGAAAATAGATTAAATATGTGTATTGTGGTACATGTATATATAGATATGTTCACATATGCATATGCAAGTCTAGAAGAATACACTCCAAATTAATTGTTCTCTCTGGAGAGTAGGATTGGAGGGAGAACTTTTAAACTTCAATATCATTTTAATTTTAAAGAAGGATTTGTAACCTTTGTAACTAAACCAAACCAAAACCACCCACCTAATTTTTAAAAAGCAGTGGAAATAGTGAACTCAGCAACCATGTTCTCAAGGACTGGAAAAGCTGACAGCTGGGATGGGTTTGGGTGTGCAAAGAGGCGCACATACTGGCAACTCACACCATTCTTTAGTGAAGTTGAGTTATGGACACACATGCTAACAAGAGCCACAGGGATTTACTCTGCTTTCAGTAAACTAGAGATGTGTCTGATGCTTCCCTGGAAACTAGGCAGAAACCTCTGCTGGATATATAAAAGCTGATTACAGAAAGAGGGTTTCCCTTTCCCCCAGTATCCCCTCTGAGCTTCTCAAGGAGACTGAATGTGAGTCACGTCCCTGGGGTTTCATATTTGGTTCCTCCGTCTTGGTTACATCTCCCAGCATCCTATTCTGCCACCTCTTCTCTACCCATGTCAGTTATCCAGCCCTTCTGAATTGCATCCTCCTGCAGGGCCTGCCTCTGCATTCCTGCACGGAGCAAGATATCCTGATAACCTCTCTTACCTCACACTGCCTTTGCTCCTCACCTTCCCGTGGTGTGATTTCCAATCAGAGTGAGTGTGAAGTGCTGTCAGGCATTTACTACCTCATGTGGGCTTCAGAGGACGGGGGTTCTGTCTCAGCTCTCCTTGCACACCCAGAAGACCGTGAAATGAGGAAGTACAATATATACCTTTTTGGTTTCTTAGATCACAATCTCTGAAAGGACATTCTGTTGACAAAGCATGTATGTTCTGTTGGGCACCTTACGCATCGTTGAACGAGGTGGTACAATTGTCGCATCCTCGTTTTTAGCCCTTTCCAGAAGCAGAAAGTACTCTATTACAATTAATATTCTGGAAGCAAAAACTTCAAATTAGTCTTCAGGCTACAGTGCAGGGGAGACTGATGGGCTAATTAGATGTTTTTCTGAATTGCTCAAGAATATTTACAGTTAAAAGCAATGTGGTGAATTCCATTGTCATTTAAAAAAAATGTGCCAGACCCACAGCTGTGGCTGAGGGTTTGTTTGTGTCTACAGCTGGTGGAAACCTCACCAAGCCTCTGAGTTCTCAGCAGGAGTGGGCTTACACACAATGAAGCAGGATTTTATTTTCAGGTTTTATTTCATTCTTCAAAACGTTTTTTTTCACAGTTTGAAACATAACTTACAGCTTAACATTTATAGTGGCCAACCTCTATGATTTAATATTTTCTTTTTTGAAAAATAGACAAAAACCTCAGGCTCTGGAATCAAAACCTTTCCACAGGAATGTTTAGGATGGAGGGAGCTTTACAAGTGCAAAATAAGGAAATGGAAAGCTGAGGGAATAACCTTTGGTGAGATTTTTGGGGGGCAATTTAATTTACCTCTGGGTTTGCCCCTGGAGGCCTCTCACTGGGTATTCTTTTCCATTTCTCCTTTTATGATTGGAGATTACTACCCTGACTTCTGACAAGCTGAGAGGTAGAATTCTGGAAAGCAGGTCGGGTAAGAGAGGATACACAGACAGACTCCAGCAGCTACCCAGATCCAAACCGCTTTCCTGCTGATGGGCTTGCTGTGAAAGAGAAGAAAGAATCCGACTGCCCTCGACCCCCCTTTTTCTCTGGTACTGCTCACCCTGCTGCTTCATGGCGAGACCAGTACAAGGAACCTGTCCTGGCACAGGCTCGGTTCCTCTGACTGCTCCTGGGGAAAGGGCACGGGTGTGGATGTTTACACATGTACGTAAGGAGGTGGCCCGAGGTGAGAACCTTCTATGAATCAGGTGCTAGAGCTACAAATCAGTCGTGTAGACCAACTGCTCTCTTGCCTTTTGAGTCAAGTAGTGCCTTCAGAGCCCTCCAATAGATCACTGAGAGCTCCTAAATACTCCAAAAGATCCCTTCCTGTAACCCTGGATTCATTATTTAGGGAAAGGCCTCATACTAACTTCTCCAGGCAACTCCTTATCTGCCACAGGGCGAGTAGAAGAGATGTGGACATTGGAAACTTGAAGGGAGGCAGGAGAGAAGGGAATATTCTAGTTCTTCATGTTTGCATGGATGAATTTGCAGCTGAGGGCTGGGGACACAGCTAATAACCTCAGCCTCCATCAATAATTGGGGTAGTACCTTTGGTCTGGAGCTAAGAATGTTTGAGAGAGAAAAGATAATGGAAAATAAATTCACGCCTGCTTTAGAGCTTGCCAAATGGAAGTTGGGGATGGAGAAACTCAGGTCAACATGGTGACCAATAAGTTGAGAGAGGGCCAAGGCCAGCTGTGATATAGTCCCTAATTTCACTTGGAGCCCCAGTACCCCAGAGCATTTTATCAATTTCCAGTACTCAGATGGTATAGCGCTTATTGCTTTCCAAGTTCTTGAAGAATCCTCCTGCTGTTCTTAAATCGCTCAGAGAGCTCTATGCTACTGTGGACTTCACGTGATACCCTGACTGAGGTAGGTAAGTACCAAGTGTTCCTTAGCCCAGTTGGGAGAGAGCAAGGGCCTGACTTGAGACATGAAGTGTTAGTGACCAAGGGGGACAGATTCAAAGCCCGAGCTGACTGACTTTCCAGTTGTAACAACCATTATGCAGGCTCAGCTTTCACACAGGTAGCATTACCTAGCTTGTCAGGGGGACATTTGGAGGCCAGATGCTGTCCACAGTGGAAATGAACTGTTCTTTTCCTCACACTGGCCTACGTTGGGCCCATAGGTGGGAAAATCCAATTCATGTTGGAATGAGAGAGGAGGAGAAAGGTAATTTTCTCCCTATTCCTGGTTCCCAATGCTGGACCCTCAGAAACAAATTAAGCTCGTCTCCCTAAATCTCCAGGCCATGAGGCATTCTCGGCCTGCTCTCATGGAAACTCACTGCAGCACAGCAGCACCCATCTCAGTCTCTTTCTACCTCTGCCTCTTAGGCATCAGACTGTCTAAAAGCCTCAGGTTTTCTCACAACAGCTCCCACAGCAGAGTGTCGGAGGGCACGAGGAGAGCAGACAAGAGCACAGAGAGCTGTTCCAATGCTGCCTGCACAGTCGATCTAGAGACACTCTGGCCTCTGATACAGGGACCCCTCCAATGGCCATCCCCCGAGCCAGAGCAGAGCACAGTGAGCAAGCAGCCAGCACCCACACTATGCCATTGGAATGGGTCAACAGGGCCCGGAGACTGCAGCCCAGCAAAGCTCTGGCTCAAAGCCTCAAGCTCTCCTCCCCTTGAACTTCATGCAAGTACAAGAACTGACTTTGTCCCATCCAGAGTCCTGAACTCCACGCAGTCAATTTTGTTAACGTCCCGCTGCCCCATCAGGAATGGGTGGCTGTGGTGGGGCAACAGGAGGCTGCGGGGTGGAGTGTCCGTGTTCAATCAAACAAAAAATAATGTTTTCCTCTTGAGGTAGGAATGTAATTGGGCCCAGCCTTGGCTAACACTCAACATCTCGCAGCTCGATCTCCTCAGTTGTGCTTTCTGCAAAAGCAAAAGACACGTTTTTGAGTGTCTGAGTTGCAAATCAGCCACACAGGGTTTCTCGGTGAGAACAAGGTAACACATGCCACCTCCAGCCATAAAAACATGAAGTGACTATCATAAGGCCCAGAGAATTACCTTTGAGTTTGTGTCTCCTCTTCCTCTGGAATTTATATGCACACTTATTACAAACCCACATGAGGCTGATTAGCACGGCGGCCACAGCAGCGAGAAAAGCAAGGAAGACGACGACGAAGTGGAGGTCTTCATAGAGGATCTCTATGGGGCGGGTGAGGGGAAGGGGAACATAACGGCTCTTTTAACATCATGAAGTCTGCCGGCCTCCCACACGCTCACAGCTCAGAGGGGAGCTGGCCCTGGGGCTCTTACCCGACACGTGCAGCACGATGGTGCCAAACTGGCTGCTCCCCAGGCTCTCTGTCACTGTGATGACGTAGTAGCCAGAATCCCTCACACCCACGCTGAAGAGCTGGATGGAGCCGTTGTCGAAGGTACAGACTCTGTCCTTGTGGCTTTGGGAGATGTTGGCCTGAGTCCCTGGCTTCCACTCCACGATCTTCTGCACTCCCCACTTGGATGTATACCTCCATACGATGGTGGGGATGCCATGGCAGGAGTATTCAACGGAGAGCAGGATGTCTTCTTCCACTGTAGCATTGATGGCGGACTGGGGAATGTACAGTGACACGCCCTGACCTGCAGGATGGAGTGCAAGATGTAGGGCAACTTACATGAACTTACAGTGAAATGAACATCTATAATTCATTAATTTATTTACTGAGTGTCTGTTACATGCCAGGCTCTCTTCTAGGTTCTGGTGCTGATGTTACAATGGTGAATGTTATGGACTGAATGTTTGTATCCCTCCCAAATTCCTATATTGAAGCCCTAACCCCCAGTGTGGCTATATTTGGAGATGGGGCCTCTAAGGAAGTAATTAAAGTTAAATGAGGTCATAAGGGTTGGGTTCTGATCCCATAGGATTAGTGTCTTTATAAGAAGAGACATAAAAGCTCCCTTCCCCATCCTCATCCCCTCCGCATCCCCATCCCCCTCCCTCTCTTCCTCCCCATGGGCATGCATGGAGGAAAGGCCATGTGAGGTCACAGCTTAAAGGATGTCTGAGCTCTCATCAGAAACCAAACCCTGCCAGAACCTTGATCTTGGACTTTCCAGCATCAAGAACTATAAGAAAATAAATCTCTCTTCCTTAAGCCTCCAGTCTGTGGTATTTTGTTACACAGCCTGAGTGGACTAAGACAGTGAACAAGACTCAAGGCTACTGTTTACTGTTCCCTGGGGCTTCTGTTCTATAAGGGAGACATACAAGGGTTAAATAAACAAACGAGATCATTTTAAATCATGACAAAAGCTTTAAAGATAATAAAACAGAGCACTGGTGACGGGTAGGGGTGGAGATGGTACACAACATTAGATAGGATGGTCAGAGAGGACCTCGCTGAGGAAATGACATTTGAACTGAGACCTAAAGGACAGGGAGGCAGCCATGTGAAGACATGTGGAAGAGCATTTCAGGCAGAGGAACAACCACAAAGACTGAGGTGAGAGTGAACGTTGGTGCATGAGGGACAGAAAGAAGGCCAGCATGCCAGAATGCAGTGAGCAACACGGAGAGTTAGGAGACAAGGCTGGAGAGTTGGGCAGGACCCAGGTCGTGACGTGAGGGTCAGCGGTGGGGTTTTACTCAAGGGTGATGGGAAGCCATAGCAGGGCTTAGGGAGGAGGGTGACATTCTCCATTAAGCTTGACAATGTCTGCTGTGGAGAACATTCTGGGGGTGAGGGTGCAGAGTGGAAGCAAGAAGAACAGTCAGGTGGCTGTAGCAGGGGACTAGATAAAAGATGGAGATGTAGCCTTGGGGAGAGTGAAAAGCAGTCTGATTTGGGATATGTATTTGGAAGTAGGGAGGACATGCTGATGAACTAGATATGGGGGTGGGTGAGGCAGAGAGGCATCAAGCAGAGATTTCTGTGTGTGCGGATAAATAGTAGTGCCATTGGCTAAGGTTATGTATGTGTCGTCATACATGTATTAAGTAGGTACCATGCACAGGCCCTGTGCTGACTGCCTTACACACATCATCTCTTCAAGTCTCACACAACCCATTGCGATTCTATCGAGGATGCAAGAAACTTCAGTGTCAACAAGACTAACTAGTTGTCCAAGTTCACTCTGCAAGGCTGAGAGTCACACAAGGGCTGCTGACTCCAAAGCTCATGTATTAACCTCTACGCTCAAATCAAAGGTCACTGGCTGGCAGTGGAGGGCACAGAATGTGACAAATGCCCCCTACACGGAGAGGAGTGGTCAGGGCTTGCTGGAGACTGGATGGTGAATAGGGCAGGACTTCGGCTTGGAGCCCATCCCGTGGTTCCCACCTCCACTTCCTGTGTAGCCCCCTCACTCTATGGCTGCCCAGTTGCCCCAAGGTCCCTGCTGTGTGGCTCCAGGTAACCATGCCTGTTACTTTTCCAGACCTTTCTCATTGTCCTTTCCCATCCCCAGCATAGCCCATTAGCATCCCTCTCCTAAGGTCTGGCTAAGCGATGAGATAATCCGATAAATTCCACGCTGAAAAATTGGGAGGTAATAATGGCTTTCAAGAGTTACAGCTGCCAAGTACCAGAAGTGTGTTTTCTCCCCAACTCTGGGGAGAAAACATTCTGTGTTTTCTCATTTTAAAAAATGTTAAACTCACTGGACTGTGGTTACCAGGGGCAGTGGGGGTGGGGGGTGGGCACAAGGGGTGAAGGGAGTCATATATATGGTGATGGACAAACAGAAATGTACAACCCAAAATTTCACAATGTTAGAAACCATTAAAACATCAATAAAAAAAAAAAAAGAATTAATTTTCAGAAAAAAAAATGTTAAACTCACAGAAAAGTTGCAAGTACAATTAATATCTATACACCCTCTCCCTATATTCATCAATTATTAACACTTTGCCACATTTGTGCTCACTCATGCGTGCTCTCTCTCTGTCTCTGGAAGAAAATGGGTCAAATTCCAGATCAGCCCTGGGAGGGCAAAAGTTATGTATTTTTTATCGCTGTGTCCCCTGTACCCAACACAATGCCTGACACATAGTGGCTGGTTAATAAATGTTTGTTGAGTGAATGAATAAGTGAATGACCAAATACTTATAGCAACAAGAAGGGCGAACTGTTTCCTGATAGAAATGTTGCCACTTGGGTGGTTTGAAAAATTAGGCACATCTAAAAGGTAACATAGGGACCGGCCCCATGGCTTAGTGGTTAAGTGCGCGCTCTCTGCTACTGGCGGCCCCCGGGGTTCGGATCCCGGCCGCGCACTGAGGCACTGCTTCTACAGCCATGCTGAGGCAGCGTCCCACATACAGTTCTAGTTGCACTAGAAGGATGTGCAACTATGACATCCAACTATCTACTGGGGCTTTGGGGGAAAAAAAAAAAGGAGGAGGATTGGCAATAGATGTTAGCTCAGAGCCAGTCTTCCTCAGCAAAAAGAGGAGAATTAGCATGGATGTTAGCTCAGGGCTGATCTTCCTCACACAAAAAAAAATAAAAAATAAAAGCTAACATACATATAGGAAAGAGAACTATAATTTAGTCAAGGCTGCATGTGCCAGTTACTATATTATATACTTATTGTGTACTTTACAATCCTTCTCTCTTTTATTTTTCACGTGAGAGTCAGCAACGTGCCCATGTAGCTAGGAAATGGCAAAGGCAGGATTTGAATGCATTTCTGTCTGATTCAAAACGCTGTGTTTCTCAAACTCTACTTTGTGACTATCTATCATCTATTTAACTATCTTTTCTGATTTCTCTGACCCAAAATATGAGCAGTTGGAATCATGATTACTGTAAGATTTGGAGAACCATATTTAGAACTAGTGACAAATCTGTATCATAACCTATGTGTATTTCACGTACATCCTATGTCAACCATGTTGGTCAAGGTTACTGATGGATTAGTCTCCTGGGAGACCACCAGCCCTCTGAATAGCCTTAGGGACCTTCACTTTGAGCCTATCAGGTACTCTGGCCCGAGAAACAGCAAACTGAAAAATTAACAAAAATAACAAGCCCAAGTTTCTCAGATGCTGATACCCCTGGAAACTGGCCAACCAGTCAGAGTTGGTTTCTATATTTTTTCTTGACCAGAAAAACTTCCTCCTAATCAGACAGACTAACGAGGTATTTAACTAGGTTTAAGGAACAAACAGTCCTGCTTCTTGACACATATAATTAGGAATAAATGGTCTATAGCAAAGATGGAAACTTAACAGTTCCAAGAGTTTAAAGGCAAACTGCTCGTCTACTGTTTAAGAAGTGGAATTAATGAGTAACCACTTCAGCACCCCATGCTGAAATCATTCCAGAACAAGCCCAAAAAAACTCTGTGGCTAGACCAATATTCAGATCTGGCTCAAATGGTCCACTCAAGTAGGTTGGTTCAATAAATCAGATTTTACTTGTAAAATGGGTGCCAGGAAGCCATTAACGAGAGAGAGCTTTGTGTGGACAAGGGAAGATGTCGATGACATGTTACTAAGTTAAAAAATAAATCTTATTTATATTTGTGGAAATATGTGCTTCTATTTAGTGGTGTGGAGTCAATTCCAACTTCTAGTGATCCTATGTACAGCAGAGCGGAGCCCTGCCCGGTCTTTTTGTGCCATCCTCTCACCTTCCAGCGCTATATCAGATGATGCTCCACTGCTATTCATAGGGCTTTCATGGCCAATTTTTTCAGAAGAGGGTGGCCAGGTCCTTATTCCTAGTCTATCATAGTCTGGAAGCTCCACTGAAACCTGTCCACCATGGGTGACTTTGCTGGTAGTTGATATACTGGTGGCATAGCTTTCAGCATCCCAGCAACATGCAGCCGTCACAGTATGACAACCAACAGTCGGGTGGTATGGTTCCCTGACCAGGAAACGAACTCGGGCCATGGGAATGAGAGCGCTGAATCTTCACCAGGGCTAGACCACCAGGGCTGGCAAATATGTGCTAAATGTACATATTATGTATAGAAAAATGTTGTAGTAATATATGCTAAAGTGTTAACAGGGATTGCCCCTTAGAGATTGGACGGCAATAGAATTTTATATTCGAAGTTAAACATTCATATAAATTTGAATTTTCCACATTTATTGAATTGATAATAAAAAAATATATTTTTAAAAAGCTTTTTAAGTTCTCCTGATTAGACCAAGCAATCTGAAGGGCAAAGTTTTAAAAAAATGTTTAAAAGTTTACCTTGCTTTTCATCTTCACTTGAATTCTTTGTAAAAAGCAGAAAAGAACTAAATTCTACCCATTTCCCAGACAGATGGGGATGCCTCCTCTAAGGAAAAAGTCACAGAACTGAAATTCTAGCAGGGCAGAAGTCACTGGAACCTGAACTGAGAAGCTTCCTGAAAGCCTGATTTCCTGGAGCTAGGGAGACCCGCTGGGAACTATCAGAAAGAAAGCACCAGGCAGGTGAAACCAGCCACTGAGCACAGGCTGGACTATAATACTCAGAATGGTTCCTTATTCCTTTTCTTACATATAAATTACACAGGTAGTGCTTTGCTGTTTTTAAAGCAGGATATATTTAAGCAGGATATATTTAAAGCAGGATATATTTCCTGAAATCACAATAAAGGTCAACACCGTTCAGACCACACTTTCAGTGGACAGCTA